CAATAAAGTGTTCTATAAATATAGTGGGATTTAAGGGAGCTTGTGATTTGCTCATTTAATTTTATAACATGATACAATACAATATGTAGTAAAATGTCAACGTGCACTTTTTGAAAGAATAAAAAGGGTGTCAAAATAGATAGAGATGATCACTACAAAAACATAGGATAATTTTGATTTTTTTTGGTTTTAAATAAACACTTGCAAGGAATCAATAATTAACAATAATTGTGATGAGAAGTATAAGATTTTATATATTTGTACGAAAATATCAAATTTAAATTATAAATATAAATATAAAAAATTACATAAAAATATTTTTACGATGAATTGTTATACTACACGTGAATAATGATATAAGTTTAATTTAAGTTTCTATATAAATATTACATTTGGAATGAAACCTAAAAGGAATGCTTCTCGATCGTTACTCTTTTCTTTTAGAAAAAAAAAAGAATAAAAAATAATAATAATTAGAGATAAGTAAAAATTTAAAATATGAAGAAATGAATCCTCACAAGCCACAATAAGGTGATAATTACCTATTTATTATTTTCTCCTAACTTTTTTATTCTTTATTAAAAATGATTTTTAATAATAATTAATTATTGAAAATATTTTAATTTTCATTAAAAATGTCTTTTTAATTATAATTAACACTCATTGTAAGCCTTTTTTAACGTTATTAAATTTAATGATAATTTACAGATGCCAGTAAAAAATTTAATTTGTGATTATATATAATATTATTTCAGCTAAAAAGATGTTTTTGTAAATGATTTGTCATTTTAATTTTTAGTGGACAACTTTTTTATTGGAGGGCGGCTAATGGATAATACAAGTTAAAAAACAAAAATGGTAAAAAGGAGGAGTTTTTTTTAATCAAATTTTTTCTTTTCTTACCTTGTCATAAATCGTAATATTTACTTGATATTTAATTTTAAAAAGTACATAGATTCTATTTTTTTTTTTTATTTATAGATTCTATTTTGAATTATTTTTTTTATGGAAAGTATGATTCTATTGGTTTGTTTTATATAATTATTCACAAGTGGATTTGACTTTTTCACGAACAAAAAAAAAGGGTTCGAAATAATATTAATTTAGATTGGCAAAGATTAAGTAATGCACTTAAAAGTCATAAACACGTTCCGTTGACAATTTTATTTAGGAAAGTATCATATATATTAAAATAAAAAAAAGAGATGAGGATGTCGTGGAATCTCCGTATTTTTAAAAATTTATTTAAATAATTTCAAAATTGTAAAAATAAATAAATATTTGCTTGTTAAAAAAAGAAAATTAAGTTGAATAATATTTTTTATTTTTTATTTATGAAAAACACCAAATATATATTAATATGTTATAAAGTATTTGTATTATAGTGAATGTCTATCCTATAAAGTCCAGAGTCCTACTTGGGGACCAAGTTAGATTTCTCCTATAAATAAATATAATCCTCTTCATTGTAAATCAAAATTGATTCATCAAGAGAAATAACAAATCTTCTTTTCTCTCTAGTTTCTTCTTCTTATTCTATAGTTTTATAACACGTTGTCAGCACGAGACTCTAATTTCTCAAAAGTGAAGGTTAGATTTGAAGTATTAATAAAGATATTATTTATTCTTTTGTTTTTAATTTTAATGGCCAATTTTACAAAACTAGAGTTTACAGGCATTCAAAGTTTGGGCAGGAACTACCTCTCATGGGTGTTGGATGCTGAAATCCACCTTGATGCAATGGGTCTTGGAGACACCATAAAAGAAGAAAATAAGGCATCAAATCAAAACTGTGCATGAGTAATGATATTCTTGCGTCATCATCTTGACGACATTCTGTAAATCGAATATCTGACAGTTAAGGATCCACTTGTTTTGTGGAAAAACCTAAAAGAAAGATTTGACCACTTGAAGATGGTCATACATCCAAAGGCACGATATGATTGAATGCATCTAAGGCTACAAGACTTTAAGTCTATACATGAGTACAATTCT